TTTTAATTTTTTTGTTTTGTTTTGTTTTTGTGCTGGCACTGGGGCTTGAATTCATGGCCTAGGTACTCTCCTGAAGCATTTGTGGGCAAGGCTGGTGTTCTACCACTTAGAACCATAGCTCCACTTTTGGCTTAAAAAATTACTGTTCTTAGAAAGGTGATGTACAAAGGGTTTACAGTTACATAAGTCAGGTAAAGAGTACATTTTTTTTCTTGGACAGTGTCACCCCTTCCCTTGTTCTCTCATCCCCACCCACAAGTTATATAGTCCATTTTCAACATACTGTCTAGTGAATATCACTGCTGTATTTGTTCACCTTTTGTCCACTTTTGGCTTTTTGCTGGTTAATTGGAGATAAAGAACCTCATGAACTTTCTTGCCCAGGCAGGTTTTGGACTATGATCCTTAGATCTCAGCTTTCTAAGTAGTTAGAATTGCAGGCATGAGCCACAGATGCCTGGCTTTGTTTTTAAATTTTTAAGCTGAAAGAAAAAATAGTTGACAACATTAAAACCCAGGAGACAGTTTATGTATTTGCTGGCTTGTGGCATGTTCCAAGAGGCTAGAGGCTGGCTGCCTTGTTCAACCCCTCCCCATCCTCCCCAGAGCAGGTGCCCCTGCATACACTGTCATCTCACCCCATTATCTGCCCTTGTTCCAAGGTGCCTTCCTGGAAGGAATGTCCTACAGCATCCCCATTTGCCCAAGTTTGATCACATGGGCAGCTGTATGGAGTAAAGCCATCTTCACTGGGCACAGCACTTCCCTGAATAGAAATGAGGTTCCGTTACTAAGGAAAGAAAGGGATATAAATGCTAGTGAGTCATCAGCACAGATTGGGGGTGCTGAGGTGAGTTTATTCATGTTGGCATTGAAGTCTCTATGAGGACATTTTGGGAACACTCTTCAGCCAACAGTTTTGGGTTTCTTAGAGAAATGATCATGGTCTGAGGCCAGGTAGGTAAAAGAGGCCCTGGGAGGTCTTGTTACACTGCCAGGTGAGGGTACACTCAGGAAATGATGGGTCACATTATCACAGTGATCTCTGCCAACGCTGCTGACTCTGCTACAATGAAGGATGGTTCTAAGTGGCTACACCATTGAGAAATGCAGATTCCAGGAGGCAATTCCAGAGGAGAAGGTGGAATATGGAAGGGCTGGTGCTAGAAAGTCAGGGCTATCAGCCTAGGGTCTCTGAGGAGGTGATTGTACTGTAGCAACCCTGGGGCTAGAGGGAACATGCTGCAAGGTGCCTGTAGGTAGCTCTTGTGTAAGTAACTCTGGGTGTGCACACCTGAGTCCCTCATGAGATAGCAGACAAGAGGCACTGAAACATGGGCCTTGTGCTGGAGGGAAGGTGAGCAAAGTTGTTACATCAGAAGACTTACTTTTTTTTTTTTTGTCGTGGGGCTTGCGCTCTGGACCTGGACACTGTCCTTCAACTCTTCAGCTTAAGGCTAGTGCTCTACCACTGAGCCATAGCGCCATTTCCGGTTTTCTGGAAAGTCTCATGGACTTTCCTGCCTGGGCTGTCTTTGAACCATGATCCTCAAATCTCAGCTTCCTGATTACCTAGGATTACAGGTGTCAGCCACCGGTGCCTGGCTGAAGACTTACTTTCTTAGGAAGTAATTTGGAATAAAGGGTCAAGATAGGTTCAACTTACTCTTAAATGCTTCAGAAAACCTATTACATGTTGTTTTATGTGTGTTCATATCACATATATTAAGCCAACATAGCTGTTAAACACCTGTGTGGCTAAACATCTGTATGGATTTTCCTTTTGTTTTTTAATTAAGTAGTTGTACAAAGAGGTTATAGTGTCATATGACAGGTTATGAGTATAGTGCACATTGTCAATGCCATTCCTTCCATTGTTCTCCCCTATTTCCATCTGGACTTACCTTACAACATGTATGTTATATCCAAGGCAAGCTCTCTACCACTGAGCCACCTTCCCAGCCTGTATGTTATATCCAAATAAAAAATATTTATGCTATCCAATAAGCATATAGGCAAGGTTGCCTAATTAGGGGAGTGTGAAGTCAAAACTGCACCCTTAGGTGGGCACTGGTGGCTCATATTTGTAATCCTAGCTACTCAGGAGGTTGAAATCCTAGGATCGTGGTTCAAAGCCATCTTGTGCAGGAAAGTCCACAAGACTTATCTCCAACTAACCCCTATAAAACTGCAAGTGGCTCTGTGGCTCAAAGTGGTAGAGCACTAGCTTTGAGCAAAAGAGCTCAGGGACAGCACCCAGGCCTTGTATGCAAGCCCAAGACTGACAAAACAAAAACCTTGCTCCCATGAGAATGGCTGCCAAGAGGCTAACAGTGCCTGGCTTGGAGGAGTTGTGGCCCTGGTACTCCTGCTCTACTGTGAACATGCACAATGAGGCCTGCAGTGAGCACACATGCTGTGCCTGCCCACACTATGCCCGCCCACACTGTGCTACTGGTGTTTGCCAAGAAGGAGAAACATATAGATCCTTGTGGCAGCTTCCTACCTAATTGCCAAACCCTGGGAATACCCACATGTCCACACACAGATGTGTTTGCCTGCGTCGTATAATAGCCTGGCTGAGCATCAGGCTCCAGGAAAGGAAGCAAACTCACCAGCCAATGAATCCAATCATTCCATGGGATTATCATTATGGATATGGACAAGCTGGATGACTCATGTCAGGCTAAGATGAAGGGAAAGGAAGCTGGGCTCCTAAGAGTGTGGGGTGGGTTACAGAGGCCCTGAGTTCAAGCCCCAGTATTGATGCATGCATGTGAGTGCACACACATGTATGGTATCAGAAGATAATCTTAGTGCTAAGTAAATATCCACTAAACTTATGAAATGACACCTTGGGCCTTTATTAAAACCTTGGGTCCTCAGCCTGAAGCTGGCCTGTGCCTTGGTGGCAGTGAGAGGCCCACTGCTGCCTCCATCCTGTTTGGGGAGAGATGCCAGTCACACATTTGAGAACAACAACAATGTCAGCAGGAATATGGAGAAATCAGAACCCTGGACAGTGCTGGTATGACTAAAATTACTCAGTCCCTGTGGAAAACAATCTGGTGGTTTCTCTAAAAGTTAAATAGAATCATCAGGTGACTCAGCAGTTCCATCCTCACATAAATATTCAAAATAATTGAAAGCAGGAACTCGAACAAGTATTAATATGTAAGTGTTCATAGCAATATCACTCATAATAGCCAAAAGGTAGAGACAGAAATCCTTCAGCAGATGACTAGATACATAGAAAATGGTACATTCATTCAAGGGAACATGATTTAGCCTGGAAAGAAGTGAGGAAGGTCTGGCACGTGCTACAGTATGGATGAACCTCCAGGACTTTATAAATAGTGAATTAAGCTAGATACCAAAAGACATATCTTAGGATTCCATTTGCATGAAATGGAGTGTAAATCTATGGATATACACTCATTAATATAGTTGCCAGGAGCTGAGAAGAGAGGCATTTGGTGGTTGGAAATAAGGATAAAACAGGAAGCAACTGCTAATGGACACAGAGCTTCCTTCAGGGTGATAAAATGTTTTGGTAACAAAGAGGAGGGTTGCCTACCATTGAAATGTATTAGATACCCTTGAATTGTTTGCTTTTGGATAAATGTTATATCAATTTCATCAGTATTTTTTTTTTTTTTGGTCTGATCGTGGGCCCTGAACTCTGGGCCTGGGCGCTGTCCCTCAGCCCTTCAGCTCAAGGCTAGCACTCTACCACTTGAGCCACAGTGCCACTTCTGGCTTTTTTTTTTTTCTGCTTATGTGATGCTGAGGAATCGAACCCAGGGCCTCATGCATGCAAGGCAAGCACTCTACCACTAAGCCACCTTCCCAGCCCAGTATTTTTTTTAAACAAAGGTGGCTCCCATCTCCTCAGGCTAGATTAGTGATGCACCTGGATGACTTCTGTGAACTAGCTGGCTGTCTTTGAGACTAGCACTGTAGCCTCTGGTGTGTTCTTAACGTGTTTTTAACTCATGTCTAAAAGCCTAGTAGCCAAGTGTATGAATACACACTTGTAAACCAACAAAGCAAAGATGAAAAGGTCTCAAGTTCAGTGCTGGCCTGGGACATATAGCAAAATCAAGGACTGAGCCAGGTGTGGTGATGCACTCCTGGAATCTTAGCACCTTGAAGGCCAAGGAAGGGGTGGCAGTTTAAAGCTAAATTCTGGGCTGAACTGAAAAAAAAAATGTATAGAACTCATCTTGATTTTGTTGGATTTGCTAAGTGCATTTCTGGACATAGCATGTAGAGGTAGGCCCTGGTCCTCACTGCTGTGTAGACTTGTAAGTGAGACCCTCTCCATTCCTGGTAGATACAAGAAAATCCTCTCCATTGTGTTCATGAGCTATCAAGTTGGGTTATGTCTGGTTTGTAGTGTACAAAGGCCCACAAGCAGCCGCAGTCTAGTGTCAAGCTGCTGACTGAAGGTGATCCTCCCCTGCTTGCCTCTGAGGGTTTTTTCCTTTGTTAACATCATGTGTTACAGGGATTGTAAGTTCTAACCATATATGCTATATAGATCTCAATAGTCATTAAAAAATTTTTAAACCACCAAATTTATAGGATCTCTTTCTCTCTTTTTTTCCTCTCAGCTAGGAGACTAAGTGTGGCTCTTGGCAGCAAGGTTTATTAATGAGAGAAGGAGTTGACAGAGCTGGGCAGGGCTAGCCTGACAACATTATCTACAGACAGACGCTCCATAACAGGGAGGCGACGAGCTGAGATGTGCCAGAACCGCATCCTGGTGGATGGGCCATCTCTTAGTAGTAGCTTCCTAGTGAGTGTGGACAGGATGGGCATCTGTGGTGAGCACTATTCTGCCTCAGGATCAGGAACTTGAAGAAAGACAAAGTGCCTGCAGGATGTAGTTCTCCTAATGTGTCCCCCAACATAGCAGCTCCTGTGAGACCCTGGTGCACACCTTCCCATACAGCCCCCTGCCAACCCGATATCCATCTTTGCCCCTGTTGTTCCAGGTGAGCCTGAGCAAGGTGGGTGAGTACTGGTGGAGTGCCATCCTGGAGGGGGAAGAGCCCATTGACATCGACAAGATCAACAAGGAACGCTCCATGGCCACTGTGGACGAGGAGGAACAGGCAGTACTGGACAGGCTCACCTTTGACTACCATCAGAAGCTACAGGGCAAGCCACAGAGCCACGAGCTGGTACGATCGCTACAGTCCAATTAGTGCTGGTGACAGGGCTACTCACATCAGAGGAGTGGGTTGGGCAGGGAGGCAGTATGTGGGTGGGCCAGCTCTGACTGGGCCTTGGCACATTGCTGCCTTCTGTGTCCTCTGTCGGGTTCCAGCCCAGCGCCCTGCCTTACACACTCATGTCACCAGGGACATACCACTAAGCTAGCCACATTCTAGCCCTAATACCCCAAGCGTATTGACTTATGCCCTGCCCACACTAGCAACTTGGTAAAATAGAGAGCTGATGGCTCTTGCCTCCATTCCTCACATGTATGTGACTTCCCTGGGCCTCATGGTGGAGGGGTGGGCCAGGCAGCTGGCCTAATGCAGAGGGGGTAGCTACAAGCATGTTTGTGAATGGGGATTAGGAGCTGCAGGGGGAGGGTGAGTCTGGCCTGCAGGGTGCCCAGGTCAGTCATCCCATGAAAAAAGAAATGACTGGTTAGATAAATATGGTCTTCCTTTCTCTTTTGATAATCCTGAGAGTAGCTACTTGGGGGAGAACAGGATTCTTCTTACTAACCAATGTCCATCCACTTTGCACACACTGACTGGACACAGCAAAGGGTTGGTGGGGAAGGATCATTTCTGGGCACCAACCAGGGACCAGTCCCCAGAGAGCTGCTCAGACTCAGTGGTATCCCTGTTGTCCCTGGCAGAAGCCTCCCTGTATGGCTGTGTGGATTGTCCAGTCCTTGTCCTCCAGGGTGGCATGCATATGTCACAGGGGTATGCTGCCATGCTGGCTGCTAAGGTCTGTCTTCTCAGATCTGCCCCTACCCACTCCCCCCCACCCCGAGGTTAAGGAGCCTATGTTTGGTGTGCGTGCTCTTCCCTTCCCTGGTTCTACCATGCCAGGGGCACCTGGTGAGCATGCGCTTTGTAAGGGTGGGTGGACTGACTGGCAGTGAGCCTTGCACAGAACCCTTGGGAAGATGGTCCTTTTTCATAAGAGAGATTTCAAGGTCCTAGAGTGTGTTCATGGTCTCACAGCAGCTCAAGCAACAAGGGTGGATTTGATCCCAGTTCTGGTCATAGGCCTTTCTGTTTTCCAGGCCTTGCCTTATCCTGGTCCTTCCTCTGTGGGAGAGAATGCTCCTCTCAGCTTTGCCCCTTTCCCCTGAGGGCAGTAAGTTTAAAGAATATCTGTGCAGAGTCTGCATGGTACAGAGGACATAGGGCCTTGTAGGCAGCAAGGGAAATGTGGAATGCTCGTACCATATAGACATCGTCTATTGCTGAGTGGTCCAGCCATGCTGCCTTGACTGGTGGCCACCTTTGCCATAGGAATGGGACCTGATTTGTTTGCCCACCCCCATGTCTTTGTCCAGTGTTGTGTCTCTGAGATGGACTGAGATATATTCAGGGGTTAAAAAGTAGTTTTGTTGGAGAGCATGAACACATGCTAGTGTCTATGGGCAAGTTAGAGGATCCCACTAGATGTCCTTTAGAAGTGCAATCTGTACCAAGAGTAGACCAACCAATCAAGGGCTAGTGGTTTTCTATGTATTCGCCAGAAGCTACCACTGTCTTTTTTTTTTTTAATAGAAACACTAAAATTTAATCATTAATGCATTTGTTAAACCACAGTGAGGTCTTCTAGATTCCAGCTACAAGATAATGAGCAAAGCTAGAATATTCTAGATATTTTCATCTCTGGCTCAAGTTCTCTGTGATTGTATCTCTTGAAGAACATACAAGTCAAAACAGAACAAGAAGGCAATAATGTCACTTGTCTAGGGGTTGCCAGTAGTGCAAGGTCTGCACTGGGACACGGGGCTCCTAGCTTCCTGTTTCCTTTTTTCTCTCTTCCCCTTGCTCTGTGTTCTGTACTGATATCCTCTAGGAGCAGTGCTGGTTAGTCCTTGTTAGTGAGGAGGGCTTGCTCTGCAGTCTTATCCATGGGCAGTTGCAGGAAGTGGTTGCTTTGTCTTTCCATTCCTGGAGGTCTGAGGGCTCCTCATTCTGGTAGGGCCAATCAGCCTACAACCTACACCTAGGAACAGGGTGGCCTTTTCATTTCTGGAAAACTAAGGCATCTTCTGGGAAGTTCTTTCTTCAAACTTATACACCATCTTTACTGCCAGCCTGGAATGGGCTAACCTCAAGGATTGGGAATTGATGTTGCACACAATACTGTGTATGTACACTGTACACTTGCATATTTACATGCATGCAACCACTTATGCCCTGCCACCCTGGAGGGTGAATCTATTGATACTTTCTGGGATGCCCTATTGGGTTCTGGGACATGCAGAGACCAGAGTGGAGCAGAAAGTCTGGCAGCATGCCATTGAGGGCTTGCCCCTGCTTGGTACATGCACACTGCCTGTGACCCAGCACTGGGGAATGCAGAGGCTGAGCCACAACCTAAATTAGGAAGGACCTGGAAGACACTGTAGTCTAGTGGAAAGATCTCTGTTTTGAGACTATTTTGATTTTGCTGTGGGCCAGGCTGCATTCTGACCCTTGAAGGATGTGTGTCTCTAAGCAAGGTGCCCAGGAAGGCCTTCAGCAGCAGGCAAACTAGGAGAAGGCAAACCACCTAGAGGTTTCATGTAAAATATTCTTAGCTCCCTCCCTTTTCCCTCCCCCCCATTACTGGGACTTGAATTCTTAGGTCAGGGAGCTAGCTGGCCCTAAGATTTTTCACTGAAGGTTGGCACTCTACCTTTTGAGCCATAGCTCCACTTTTGGTTTTTTGGTGGTTAATTGGAAATAAGATTCTCATGGAGTTTTTTGGCTTGGAAACATGATCTTTAGATCCCAGCCTCCTGTGTAGGTAGATTATAGGTGTGAGCTCTGGGCATGTCCAGCTGCTCTTCTTGTTAAATCGACCGGGAAGTATGGGTCCATGCCCTTCAGTGGCCTCACGTAACACCTTTTGACTCTTGGTCCTCCAGGATACCTCCTAGGCAGAGTGGTCCTCTGAGAGTCACCTGGGCAGTGGAGGCTACTTGCTAGGATTACCAGACCTTACTACTTACTAGTGCAGAGGGAAGGGAAGCAGGGCCAGGCTCTCCTGCCAGCCTCCATCTGCTGTGTGCATCCACACAGTCACAGTTACCAGCATGCTCTGGCATCGATGCCCATTTATGGTGTGAACTCAGAGTTTTCTAAATTTGCCAGCATTTCAAATTGTGCTTCTAATGCCACAGATGCTGTATATTTTGAAGCTTTTTAATTTTAAAGTGATAATATGTCTCTTGTTGTTTTAAAGCCTTTCCAGTCATTATGAGGTCACCTATTATCAGAGTGAACAAATTGAATACTCTTCATTTTCCCCCCCTAATTTCTTTGAGCAGGTTTTTCTTATCTAGAAAGGAAGGTTGGAGCACACAGGTGTGGTTGCTCAGTCTGCATGCAGAGGTGTCTGTCTAGGATCCCTTGAGCTGATGGGACTCGCCATGACTTCACACAGGCAGATGCCATCATCAATATGGTCACTGGCCCTGTGGTTGAATTGGGTACACCCAGTAACACTGTCTCCACATTCTTGCCTTAAGAAAGGTCTAAGCCCCGATGATGGCACCCTTGGTTCCCTTGATTGTAAGATGGAGTTTAATAGTCTTACTATTGTATTCTGGGCTTCCTACAATGGGCCCCTACCCAGCCACCAAGTCTCTACAGCTATTCTTTGTCCTTCAGCTGGCTCAGGTTCTGTCAGGGTTGTCTAGTTGTTTATTCTTGTGTGTGATGGAGACTAGACCCTCCGGGGTGTGTGAAGGTGGCTTCCTTCAGCCATGCCTGTGCCCCTAGCCACTCAGTTTGTATCCCTTGCTCAGATCCTACTATAGTGCCTTTTTCTCAAATAGTCATCCTAGTTTTTTACCTGAGTTACTGATACAAAGTTAGGGATTAGTTTCTAATATGAACTGTCTGATATGTTTGTTGCTGCTTTACTTAGGTAAAGAGCCCCCTTGAAGAGAGCCCCCTTGTCAGGAAAGTTGTATTTTATATAAGGAAAAGCTGTGGTATTCAGATTCCAGCAGCTTTATCAGGCACTAGGAATTTTCCACAGTGTTCGATTCTGTTAGCCTTGTGATGCAGGAAGGGGTGTCTGTCTGCAGAGGTGTCTGTCTGCAGAGGTGTCTCCTGCAGAGTCCATAGACGCTCTGTGTGGTAACCTCTGGCCACACACCCAGTTAAGTCTCTTCAGTTTCTCATAGTTGGAAGAAAGGGGTATGTTGAAGAAACGGGTATGCTTGCAGTGGCAGCAAAGGAGGCAGAAGGAGAGCACATCAGCTGAGGTACAGATGCCTCCCTTGAGTACATCCTTTGGTATATTCCTGATCTTGGAGGCTAGACAGTGGCAGAGTAGCCACAAGCTGGGAGGAGCTGAGTCCACCAGCTCCCCAAGGAAGCAGAGGGGCATTGCTGACTGCCAGATTCTCTCCTGACTGCCAGACATGTGAGGTTTCTCCCTCTGCATCTCCTGGATTGTCAGGTGATGCAGTTCTCAATGACAAGAATGACCTCCTATGAAAAGGGGGTTCTGGCACACACACCTCTGTCATTGTCCCCACAGGGCTGGGGTACCCCCTCTGCATCTTAGACATGTCTTTGCAAAATGTAGGCCTAATAGGCTATCTTTGCAAAATGTAGGCTTAATAGGCTGTGTGCGATTTATACAGACATTTTAGTGGAAAGGGGGCAGAAGATGAACCATAAGGAGAGCTGCTAGCATTTATTGGAGACAGAAGATGGAAGGCTAGAAATTCAGCCTGTGGGAAGCACAGTATTACGGAGGAACTGGCAGTCACTCAGCACTTCCCTTGGCATAAGCTGCCCAGGGTGTATGAGCCTCCCACCAATTGGTCCTGCCAAGGCGAGTCCTCAAGTCCAGAGGAAGCAGGATGGCTCTGTGCCCACAGTCGGTGTTTTCTAAGAGAAAGCATGCAGTGCGTTGTGATTCCCTTTAATTTCTCTATTTTCTATTTGTAGAAAGTCCATGAGATGCTGAAGAAGGGGTGGGACGCTGAAGGCTCTCCCTTCCGAGGCCAGCGATTCGACCCAGCCATGTTCAACATCTCCCCAGGGGCTGTGCAGTTTTAATGACCGGAAGGAAAGGAAACCCTCGCCAGCAGGGGGGCTGAGGCCTTGTCCTCAGCCATCCCCCTCAGCACCCTGCATGCCAGGGACTTGCTTGTCTTCTTCACCCCTAGCCATCATTTCTTTTAAGGGTGAACCTGCCTTCCACACTGACCTTGCACCTCCAGACGGTCCCAGAGAAGGTGCAGGGCCAGCTCTGGCAGCCTCTGTGGGCAGCACTAAAGGAGGGTGTTTAAAATGCAGGAAGGACACATCCCAACATGCTGGGAGCACACGCTTTGTCTCCACAGCAACCAGCCACTGCAGGCAGCGTTTCTTTCCTCCTGTGCTCTCTGCTTGCTGTTGTGTTGACACTATTCTGTTTGCTTGCTTGTGTTCTGGTTGGGGGGTGGGGAATTGCAGGGCTCTCAGGGAAAGCAGAATTTGACATGTTGACCTGGGTGGGGCCCAGTGCCAGCATGAGGGCAAGTGGAGCATGGCAGTGGAGCTGCTGCTGGGCTGCTGTGGGACCCCCTGGCCCTTTGACCTCTTCCTGGGTGTGTTCACATGCAGTAACTGTGCTTGACTTGCCTCAACCTCATAGCAGAAACTGGGGGGCCTGTTTGCATGTTCCAGGTATGGGGAAGAGGCTCTAAGGCCTAGGCTCAGACCCAGGTGTGGCCATGTGCCGTCTGGCTGCAGTTCCTGTGCTTTGCTCATTGAAGTAGACTGAGCCTGGCCACCACTGCATGGCATTCTTGCTCCCCATGAGACCTCCTCTTTAGGTGTCCAGCATGAAAGCATGGGCTGGTGCAAAGACCCAAGCTCCCTCAGAGACCACAGTATATCTTGCAGCCCATTGGTAGACCATGTTAGCCATGAACCCTGAGCAGCCTTTGACATTTGGGTGCCCTCAGGAGGAAAGAGTTTCTTCCTAGGCTTGAGGGTACCCTGTCTCATTGCAGGCGAGCCAAGACAATGAAGACTTGGTGGCTGGCACCAGATTGCTCCTCACAGCTTGCAGCCTATCCACCTGTTCTCTGGGGCCCCAGTACCGACCCACTAACCTCCCACCTGTCCTTCCATCTTTTGAGGCCCTAAGCCAAAGCTGCTTACTGACACCAAACTAAGGTGTGGAGATATGATAAAGGGGCATGGCCTAGGTGCCCCAGCTGCTTACAGGAGTCCTCACTGTGCCTAGTGCCATCGTCACTTGGCATTGCCTGTTACCTGTGTAGCCTTGGTCACACTACAGGGCTCTGTGCCCTGGCACCATGTACAGGCCATGAGAGTCAAAGCCTACAAATGCCAAGGCATCCAGCTCTTGGGAAGCAGCCCTGCAAATGCCCAGTGTTTGGGGGAGCAGTCTAGGAGGGTAGAGTGGACATCCTTCCACAGGTGTCCCATCAACTGCATAAACAGCTGGCTCACTGCAGTCACCTGGGCATAAATTTCTGGTTTATGGTGATGGGTGACAGCCCTTGGGAGAAGTATATACTACTGTGGGTCCAGACATGTTACTGATTGTCATAGAAGAGAGCCACAAATCCTCCTCTCCGAGCTGGTGAGGCCTTTAATGTCTTAGCTTCAGGGATCAGAATTGTGTCACCCACAAGTGATCCCACAAGTTGTCATCAAGATGCTGGGATTTTCATACTGCCTCACCTAACAAAAGGAGGTCTCATGGTGTGTGTGTGTGTGTGTGTGTGTGTGTGTGTGTGTGTGTGTGTGTGTGTGTGTG